TCCAAAGCCAAAATAAAGCCCGAAGTAGGAATTCAGTTGAAAGAGCATTAACACAGATTAAAAACGCAACATGTTTTTCATTTAGATAATTGAAAGAATAGAAATTATACATATATATATAAAATCATCCTAAATTTTTTATATTAGGTGTTTTTTTTTTTTTTTTTTTGACAGGCAGAGTGGACAGTGAGAGAGACAGAGAGAAAGGTCTTCCTTTTGCTGTTGGTTCACCCTCCAATGGCCGCCGCAGCTGGCGCGCTGCGGCCGGCGCACCGCGCTGATCCGATGGCAGGAGCCAGGAGCCAGGTGCTTTTCCTGGTCTCCCATAGAGTGCAGAGCCCAAGCACCTGAGGCCATCCTCCACTGCACTCCCTGGCCACAGCAGAGAGCTGGCCTGGAAGAGGGGCAACCGGGACAGAATCCGGCGCTCCAACCGGGACTAGAACCCGGTGTGCTGGCGCCGCTAGGCGGAGGATTAGCCTAGTGAGCCGCGGCGCCGGCTATATTAGGTATTGTTTAAAAATGCAATTGTAATTGACAAAGAGTTGTCGGCTAAATCCTAACATAACTTTTGCTTCTAGGAAAACGTTTACCATTATGCATTCTTGTATGTTTAATTTTATATTCAGCCTCCTAATTTCCCTTTATCTAGTTAGGATTACCAATCACAGAAGAATAGCTACTTAGGAGTGAACATATGTCAAATGGGAATGTTTTTGTCTTTCAAGCTATATTTACATTTTAATATATGAAAATTGCAAGAATTATTATTTTATAAGTTAAAAATACCACTCATTGCAATGCTTCCAAATCACAACCAGGAGGTGACTTAGCTGGTTCTATGTACTGGGAATGAGGTAGAGCAAGAAGTACAAGACCAAATATACAACATTTACATTTGCCATGAAACACAAAATAGTTTAAACAGGTCCAAACTCTTTTTGAAGGCATATTCCTGACTGAATATATATATATATATATATTTATATTTATATTTATTATATATTTCAGTTATATATATATATTTGTTAAAAGAAAATATGTATATATTTTCCCAAATAACTTTATAAATATTTGTTTAATATTTGAATGACACAGAGAGAGAGAGAAAGAAACAGAGACCTTACATCTGCTGGTTCACTCCTCTACAAATGGCTAGGCTGATGCCAGGAGCAAGGAGTTTCTTCTGGGTGTTCAGTTTCTCCCATGTGTGGTCCAAGTGGTCCAAGCACTTGGGCAATCCTCTGCTGCTTTCCCAGGCACATAAATAGGGAGTTGTATCAGAAGTGCTTCCATGTATTGGGAATGAGGATTTATATATAATATATAAATATATGAATATACACACACACGTATATATTTCAGTTAACGGAAAATAAAAATAAATTAAGCAAACACCTTCATGTATAATAAGTTAAAATTATTTTGAAGATGTATGTTTACTTAATCGAGTCTGTCATTTCAGTGTACAACTTAAAGCAGCATACCTAGTCATATGCCCTTTATGAAAATCCTAAAAAAATAGGATTAAGATAAATTTATTTTTGCTAATAATTTAAAATTTGACAATACTAACAATATTTAGAAACCTTATGTTTTTAAAAGCCAACATCAAATAATGGATATACTCATATTATAAATTTATAACAGGAGATATACTTTTCTAGTTCAACAAAATTGAAAGGAGTTCATTTCCCTAAATGCCCTTAATCAGATACCTAGGGGGGTCGGTGCTGTGGCACAGTGGTTAACGCCCAGGCCTGAAGTGCTAGCATCCCATATGGGTGCTGGTTCAAGACCCGGTTGCTCCACTTCCAATCCAGCTCTCTGCTATAGCCTGGGAAGTAGTAGAAAATGTCCCAAGTCATTGGGCCCCTGTACCCACATGGGAGACCTGGAAGAGGCTCCTGGCTCCTGGCTTTGGATCAGTGCAGCTCCAGCCTTTGCGGCCAACTGGGAAGTGAATCAGTGGATGGAAGTCCTCTCTCTCTCTCTCTCTCTCTCTCTCTCTCTCTCTGCTTCTCCTCTCTCTGTGTAACTCTGACTTTCAAATAAATAAATAAATTAATTAATTAATTATTTTTTAAAAAAGATACCTAGGAAAAACTATACCACATACTGTTTAGTCTGCTCAGTGTCCATCATTTTCTTCAATTCTGTCATTATTTTAACTACTTTTACCCATGATCTTAAATCTTAGTACATAAGACTTGCCTAAGATTTTTTGGAAATGTGGAATCCAAGCTCTGACCTGGACCTAATGAATGAAATTGTGTCTTACTAGTATCCCCATGTACTTGATATAAACATCATTGTTTGAGAAACATTAATGGAATTGTTGTTTTTTTGTTAAATTTCTTGAGCTGTTTCTATATTCTGGATATCAATCCTTTTGCATAGGTATAGTTTAGAAATGTTTTATCTCCCATGCTGTTACTTCTCTTCACTTTGTTAATTATTTCCTTTCTTTTACAGAAGATTCTTAGTTTTATACAATCCCATTTGACTATCTATGATTTTAGCTCCCATACTTTTGACTTCTTATTAAAAATCCAATGCCTATGTCAATGTCTTGGATCACTTCCCCTTTGTTTCCTCTTATGTTCGACAATTTCAAGATTTAACTTTAGATCCTTGATAGATTTTGAGCTTATTTTTGAATAGGATTTAAGGAAGGGTCTTGTTTCAAACCTCTGCCTGTGGAATCTAATTTCCTCAACAACATTTACTGTCCAGATTATACATTCTCCAGGAATGTTTTTAGCCCATTTGTCAAAGATAACTTGGATGCAGAGGTGTAGATTCATCTTGGGGGTGGAAAGCGGAGCTCCATTCTGTTCCACTGGTCTCCATGTTTATTTTTACATCAATATCATGCTGTTTTGGTGACTGTAATAAGGTGGCATGCTTGAAATTTGGCATTGTGATGCCCATGGGCTTGTTTTTATTAGATTGTTTTTAATTTTCAGGGTCTTTTATGTTTGCAAATAAATTTTGATTTTTATATTTTGTTAAAATGTAATTTTTATTTTGGTGGGGATTATACTGAGTCTATAAATTGAGTTGGGTAGCATGGACATTTTTATAATTTTATTAATTCTAGTCCGTGGACATGGAAGATCCTTCCATTTTTCTCTGCCAGTTTCTATGCTTTCTTAGTGTTTTCTCATTTTCATTATAGAAACCTTTCACATCTTTGGTTAATTTTATCTCAAGGTATCTAATCTTGTGTAGCTATTGTCAAAGGGTTTTTTCCTTATATGTTGTTTTTCACAAACACTTTTGCCAGTGTATAAAAATGCTAATGATTTTTTGTGCTTTGTTTTGATTTTGCTATAAACCACTCTGTTTATAGTAAATCTCTATGGCAGAAAGAGAAAACATATTTCTATTTCTGCCATGAGAATTTATCATGAACATAATGTTTTATAGAAAATCAAATTCATTATCTCTGTAGGTGAGATGTCACATAGGAGGCACACTGGCTAGAATCAAGGCTATGCTCCATGCCATAGATCCAGGAGAAGAATTGTTTCTTTGCTCTTTCAGGTTCTTAACAATGTCAGTGTGTTGCAGTTGTAGGGATGAGGCTCCTGTGTCCTTGATACTTGTCAGTATATAAACCTTTCCTAGTTTCTAACATCTGACTTCATGCCTTGGTTTACTGTTCCCTTTCTCAGTCTCCAAAAACATCAGCTGTGAATATAGCCCTTCTCACTTTTAAAATTTCTCATTTTTTCTTCTATTTCATTTCTCTACACCACTTTTCTGTCTTCCTGTTCCACTTTCAAAGGCTCGCATGATTATATTAGACAGATCTGAATGATCGGGGTAATCTCTAATCTCAATATTTTTAACCTTAATCACATGTGTAAAAAAGAAATCAGACCTGTTACTTTCTCATGTAAAGTAACCCCATTCACATGTCCTAGAGACTGGAGTATGACTGTTTTGGAGAGGGAGACATTATTTTGCTAAGCACAAGGTGATGAAAACCTTGTAATATCTTCCACATCCAGCCCTGATAACAAAGTCACAGAATCCTATGGTAATATGATACTTTGTTTCTATCTGGAAGAAGTTTGAAGAAAAAACTGGAGGTCGACCTTTGATTCGGATGAGATGTTCCTTGAATAGAAAGCCATTCAAATGCAATCTATTTTCCAATTAACTCTTCTATATTCACTCATACTCATAAAGTTCTGTATGGGCACATTGCCTTATGTTTTTTAAACACATTTTCAATTTAGTCAATTTGCTATCGACCCTATCAAGTTTAACATGAATGTTTAATATGTCTCAAAATTATAATCGATCTATGCTAAGATAGTTTAATCACGTGACTCTTAAACACTCATTTAGTTGGAGTGCTCATTATGGCTACAGCACTTGTATGCCTGTGTCCCATATCAGAGTCTGGTTCTTGGCTGTTCCACTTCTGATCCAGCTTCCTGCTGGTGCATCCTCAGGGACAGCAGCTGATGACTCCAGTGTGTGTACACTTGCTACCTGCATGGGAAACTTGTATGCGGTTCTGCCTCCTGGTTTTGGCTTGACCGAATCCTGACTTTTGCGGGCATTTATGGAGTAAACAAATATATGGAAGTTTGATCTCTCTCTTCCTTTCTTTCTCTCCCATGTCCCTTACTTTCTCTCTTACCCTCTCTCTGTGTCACTCAGCCTTTGAAATAAATGAAAATAAACACATGAAACTTTTAAAAATCTACTGTAAAAACTTCCAAAAGCATTGATAAATATAAACCATGACTCCAGAGTTCACACTTCATAGTAGTGCCACTTTGGCAGTAGTCACAAAAGCCAAAGTGATCAAATTGTGTACATAACAATTTGAGGAAATAAGAATTCAAAAAAAGTTATCAGCAATTTATATTTAATGTCTTTGTCACTTCATTGTGAGAATTATCTGAAACTTTAATAGCTGAAAGAAAAAGCCAATGACTTTAAAACAACACCTGGGTTTATGGGTCTCTTTGTGGCAGATATTCTGTTGATCGGCATACTGATATGGACCGAACTTTCAGTATCCACTCAGAAAATGGCTCTATTTTCACCTTGAAGCCCCTTGACCGAGAATCATCTCCTTGGCACAACATTACTATTACAGCTGCAGAAATAAGTAAGTCACAGATACATCCATCTGATCGCATTATCTTTCACCACAGTGATAAAGTAATGGCACTTAGAAGACTCTTTTTCTTGAGCAAAATAATTATATAATTAGCATGATCCTAGAGAAATGATACAGAAGGAGTTGAAATTTTAAAATATTTTAAGGATTATCAAATCATTTATTCACTTTAAATTTAATTTTCTCTTATAGTTAACTTTAGTCTAGAAATATAATACAACTCCATAAAAACTAAGAAAATTATGTATGACAAATAATACTTCATTCTGCATTGTATCTACCTGTTTGTTGTATTGTCTATTTGGCCCACATAAGAAAGTTGAGATATTCATCAGTAATCCAATTGCGAAAGTGGATACCATAGAAATGGTCTGTTGCTAAGCTACAAATGGGGTGAGTGGTTTCATTGCTTCTCTGTAAATGAGACTGAAATCTTACACATGTTTTCGTTGCAGATAACCCAAAACAAAGTAGCCACATTCCTGTCTTCATCAGGATTCTAGATATAAATGACCATGCTCCGGAATTTGCCATGTACTATGAAACATTTGTTTGTGAAAATGCAAAACCTGGGCAGGTAAATAAAATTATTATAAGCTAAAAATAATTTTCTTTATGGATGCAAATGGCACTGCATCAAATTATTTGGATGGTTTTATTTTCATACATACTCTTTTCACACTCCTTGTGACCTATTTATCCCCCATCAATAAACACTAATGGTGATCCAAAAATATGTTTTTAAATTTTATTGAGTAATCTATCATGTAATTGAGAAAAGTACAAAATGTACCTTAATTTATATACCACACACACATATATATAATGAATAGCACACAAATAAAAAGCTTTTATGCTGATGTTGAGTTACACTCACTAACAGAATGGATATACATTAATAATTAAATGTAAAATATGAAAATTAAAATTTTAATATGTTAGTATAAAGAGAACCATAATCATTATATTATTGATTATAGTTTGCCACCTTTAATACCTCAATCAGGAAACTCTGGCTTTAAATAAGTAATATTTTTATTCTGTTTTATATTTTTATATTATTTAAGTGAAAATGATTAGCTCATAAAATGATTAGTTTATAGGACTTATGAAGTCCCTTATAAAGTATTTTAAATATATGTATTTTAATTTTGATCAATGCAAAATATGTTAATTTTGACAAAAATGTAGTACTTTCTAACAGCAATGACTTCAATAATTTTGCTGAAAGTTATTTAACCACTTACGTAGATACTTCCATAAGAATAAAGTAGTCATATGTGAAAAATCATTTGTAACTTCAAGTGCCATACAATCTTTCTGTTATTCAAATAAAGATTATTCTTAAATATTTGTATATACTATTCTGAGGACCCGAATTTCAGTGTGGCTATATTTGGAGACTGAGTTTCTAGAGAATTAATTAAGGTTAGGTGAGGTCATTATGTGGGTGGGAGGGACTTTGACTCAACAGGATGGGCAGCTTTCTAAGAAGAAAATATCAGAGAGTTCATACTCTCTCTCTTCCTGAGTTCAAGAACTCAAATCCCGGCTAGGCCTCTGTGTGAAGAAAACCATTTATATTCCAGGAAGACATCCCTCATCACAAGCTAACCAATCTGGCACCTGATCTCAAACTTTCAACTTACAACACTATGAGAAAGCAATTCTCTGTGGTTCAAGCCTATCAGTCTGTGGTATTTGGTTAAGGAAAACCAATAGACTGAAAGAGATACATACCACCTTAAACTTACATGCAACAAACACAAATACATTTTTACTTCCTTTTGACAGTATAGAATCTTTGCATACTTATTTGAATTAAATATTTTTCTTCACTTTATAACATGTACTGTGTGTATGCTTAGCTGAGTGAATGGTTATTTTTAATATGATATTTTCATAGCACAGGTACATGTTATTTTATTCAACTAAAAGACATTTGGTTATCCACAAAATGTTATTTTATCTGACTGTAATATAATGAGCATTACAGTATATTATACATGTTTACTCTCTGGTATCATCTTCCTTTGATAATAATTCTCAAAGTAAGAAAAACTACATTTTTCTATAAATACTAATACACATTGTCAAAATTATTCTCGAAATACATCACAAACTAAGTGAAATCCCTACCAAATATGTATGATTTAATACATAGCAGGAAAATTTATGTTTTTAAATGTCTGCCAACTTGTAAATACTTCATAAGAGCTGTACTGTGAATTATTTAAACAACTTGAGATCATTTTTCACAAAAGGTGTGCTTTTTTTACTTTAATCTTCGTAGTTATATTAATACTGAAGATTGTTATGACAGATTGGCACACACTAGGTGATGTAAAACATCAACAATTTTTTTTTCCTTTCATACTTCTGGAGGTTAGAAGTCTGACATCAGTGTTTCAGTAAGACTATGCTGTCAATGAAGGTTCTATAGATTTTCTATTCATTTAAATGCCAAACACACTCATACATTCACACACTCACACATTCACACACACACGCACAGAGAAGAGGGAGTGAGACAGCATATGAAAGCAAAAGAACTTTTTTCCACTAGTGTGTTCCTTAAACATATGTGATGGCTGGGGCGGGGCTGCAACCAAAGCCCAAAGCTTGGAAGTCTATCCAGGTTTCCTACATGTGTGGCAAGAACCCTATTATTTGAGTTCTCACTATTGACTCCAGGGGGTCTGCCTTCGCAGGAAGTGGAATCTGAATCCAGAGCTGGGAATCAATCTCAGGTATTCTGATATATGATCCAAGTATCTTAGCTAATAGGATAACCACCAAGTCCTTCAAAAAAAGTCCTAGGGAGGATGTCTTCCTTAACGTTTCATAACCTCTTGTGGTTGCCGCCATCCTCAACATCCCTTGGATTATGGACCACAAGTATATCAACACCAATCTTTATTATTTTATGACATTCTTCAAGTATCTTTTTCTGTGTACAATATTATTTTTAAAGGTTTATTTATTTACTTGAAAGGCATGGTGAGAAAGAAAGAGAAAAAGAGAGAGAGAGAGAGAGAGAGAGAGAGAGAGAGAAAGAAATCTTCCATCAGCTGGTTCACTCCCACAGAGGGCTGGGCCAGGCTGAGCCAGAGTGTGTGTTTTATTGTGAGAACAATAATTATTGGAGTAAATTCCCCCATAATGCAGTGTGATCCCATCTTCACTTGATTGCAACTGTTAAGAACATATTTCCAAAAAAGGTCACATTTACATGTATTGCATTTTAGTGTTTACGCATGTGCTTTGGGGAACATAAGTCAATCTACAATAGCCTCTATGTATTCTTCACTAATTTATCTATTAGCTTGCATGTCTCATTGATTCATGCATATTATTTATTTATTACATTTTAATATTGGATAATAATAAACTATAATTATATTAATTTGTTGTAATCTTTCATTACTATGGTATTCTTAAATTAACAGACTAGTAATAAAATATATTTTAAAATTCTGATTTTGTACACTTTTAAAATATTCTGTGAGAATTCTCTAATCATTTCAAAAACTTTATTCATAATTGAAAAGCCTTTTTAATTATTTGAAATATTACTAAAATTATTGGGCTGACATTGTGGCATGGTAGGTTAAGTTGCTACCTGCAACGCCATCATCTCATATGGGTGCTGATTTATGTCCTAGCTGTTCTGCTTTCAATCCATCTCCCTGCTAATGGCCTAAGAAAAGCAGCCTAAGATGGCTCAAATGTCTGGAACCCTGCCATTCATGTAGGAAATGGAAGAAGCTCTCGACTTCTGGCTTTGGCCTGGCCCAGCCTGGTCACTGGGGCAACCTGGGGAGTGAACCAGGTTGCGCAAAATCTCTTTCTCTCTCTCTTGTCTCTCCCCTTCTTTCTATAACTCTGATTTCAAATAAATATGTCAATCTTTAAAAAATGCTAAAATGATATTTTTTCTGCTATTCAGGATCAGGTAGTTGATCAAAAATATTAAATCGTATATCTTTTCTTGCTCTTGTTTTATTTTTCCCAGGAGAAAAAAAAAACTTAAGTTTTTATTAATCATTGCACTCTTTCAGAAGCAATGTATAGACACATAATGTAAGGTTTCACTTTGTCAATAAAATGAATGAAATTATGATTAAAATCAACTTATAGTGGAGAAGCATTGATGAGTGAGTTTATAGGCTGGTATGGCTATAGTAGGAGCACCATAAACAAATCAATGGATATATTCAACTGAAATTCCAATAACTGTTCATCATAGAATGCTGGACTTGTACACCTGGATGACGAGCAACCATTTATTATTCTAAAAGAGGAAATTGAAGGAAACTGTAATTAAATCATTACAATTAAAAATCACACAGATGACAACCCCAGAAACAGGAAAACAGGCCCCTAACATGCAGCTTAGGGGTTTCCTACAATAAACTGCCCAGTGGAATTTTTCTGCCTCATCTGCTGCTTGCTTTTCCATCCTCCTCTATGGCACACTTAAATATTGATTTTTTAGAACTTAACAAGTATTTTTTTATATATTTATATTTGCAGGGATGGTATTTGACATAGTGATTGAGATGCCAGTGGAAATATCTGTATCCTATATCTCAATGACAGGTTTGGAGTTCTGCTTCAGTTCCTCTTTCCAAGTGCCGCTAAGTCTCCCATGAGGAAGCAGATGATGGCTAAAGTGGTTGCTCCCTGCCACCTCTATGGGAAACCCAAATTGAGTTCCATGCTCCTGGTTTAACCATGAAAGGCATTTCAGAAGTAAACAAATGCATGGAAAATTCTCTCTCTCTCTCTTTCTCTCTCCCTCTCTCCAATTTGGCTCTGAAATACATAAAATAAATAGATTATTAAAAAGAGCACAAAATTTGAATAAATAAGCAATATGACAGCAGTAATTGTACCTACACTTTTAAAATATTTTTTTCTTTCAGATACTATATAATAAATGGTTCATTTATTCAAAAATACAGTAATAGTGCCCTTAATGTGTAGGAATGGTTGTGGTAACCACTTTGTTTTTAAAAATATAACTTTTTATGTTCTCCACCTTTGAAAATTTATTTTCCAGTATAAACCATGGATTATTAACCAAAATTAATGATAAAAGAGGTCTATGCTTTACAACAAAAGAGGTTAGCAACTGGAGTGATCAAATTTCTATTGAAGTTGAGCACCACAATAGCCAGGAATCAGACAATAACGCATTGATCTGCCCTGGAACTGACCCGTGATGTACTTTTTAAAAATATTTATTTCAGAGGCAGAGTCAGAGAGACAGAAATGCAGAGCTCCCATCTGCTGGCTCACTTCCCAATTGTGCACAGCAGGCCCCCTGTACTTAATCCAGGAAACCAATCACCTGGGCCATCGCTGCTGACTCCCAGGACGTTCCTTAACTGAATCAGGGCCATAAGGCACTTCTGACATGGGACAAAGGTATCCCAACCAGCATCTTTATGGTTAGACCAAAGCCCACTCTGGCATCTTCCATTCTTAATTAAATATGTTACATTAAACAAAACCATTAAAAAAAAAAAAAACACCCTGAGCAGCTTTCTGAAAATGGTATTTTTTTTTGCTTCTTTTTTATTATGTTGGCCTCAGTTGATTCAGACTGTTAGTGTCATGGACAAAGATGACCCACCCCGAGGCCACAAGTTCTTCTTCGAACCAGTGCCAGAATTTCCGCTCAACCCAAACTTCACCATTGTAGACAATAAAGGTAGGGGGCATTTCTAAAACTACAAAATATGAAACCTTTGGATGTAAAGCTAAAAGAATATGAAGTTCTTTTCTTTTCCAACATTTTTTCCCTCCCAGATAATACAGCAGGAATCATGACTCGAAAAGATGGGTACAACCGCAACAAAATGAGCACTTACTTACTGCCAATTTTGATCTTTGATAACGATTATCCGATTCAAAGCAGCACCGGCACACTCACTATCCGTGTGTGCTCCTGCGACAGCCACGGGAACATGCAGTCCTGCACGGCCGAAGCCTTGATCCTCTCCGCGGGCCTAAGCACCGGCGCTCTCGTGGCCATTTTGCTCTGTGTCCTCATTCTGCTCGGTAAGCGCTGAGCTCTGACTTCTTCAGGTTCTTGCCTAGTGACTGTGCACGGAATGTCTTTCTTCACCACAGACTGACGTTTTTAACTCTTTCCAAGTACGCTTCTTTCATTTAAGAAAATGATTGTATCCAGAGAAAAGTATGTGGAAATATATTTAGCTTTCTAGAGACCAAAAACAGAGATGCAGTAACAAAAGGTGTAGGTATGTATATATGTATGTATGCGTGTATAGACAGGTGTGTGTGTGTCTGTGTATAGTAACATTAACTATTACATCTTTGAGTAACCATGATCATTATTGTAAGGATAGATAATTGAATTACCGATTTAACCTTTATATCAAGTCTATAAACATAATTCATGCACAGAAAAACTGAGTAAGGTGCTCCATGTTCCAAAGTGTTTCACTAGCATTCACGTGCAAGTAACTCTCCTTTAGACTTCTCCTTTCTGTTATTTTGAAAGACAAAAACGACTTTACCAAACATTGCTAACAGATACTATTATACATCTGGAGCTGCCATTGTTTATCAAATATTGAATTAGCAACTGCATTAAACTTTTTAAAATAAGTCAAATTTTCTCCATAGAACTCGTTATTTGTAGACATAAAGTATAAAATTACAAAAATTAAAATCTGTGTTTCAGAATATCATTGTGGCACTGTAGTCATAAGTAGCCCTGCATTATTTTGTAAATAAAGTCATGCTTCCAATAGCAAATGTTTTATTTATGCATGCACTAAAAGGACAACGATTTAATTCAATTAAACAGTGGTTTCACTGCAGAACATTCCAAAAAATTGTTCCTATCAAATATTCATCCAAAATGTTATGCTTAGGGCAAAAGAGCTAGCCAAATTTATGTTCTAATGCTCCTATGTGCTGGCTCTTTTTCACCACAAATCCTTTCAAGCTCTCTGGATGAAATCCCTTTGGCTGGAAATTCTTGCAGGACTTCAGTGGGGAATTGATGAAAGTGACGGGAAAACATTTGTCTCAGTTAAGGTGATCCAACAATTTAGGAAAACATTTTCTCAGAGTGGTTCAGATTACACACACTACCACAGCAGCAGCAGCAGGTCCCAGCTCCATCTGCTACTGGAAAGTTCATCTCTTCTGTAAGATCGTCTTGTAATTTTGTGGAGATTAAAATTTGATTTATCCTTTCTTTATTGGGCTACTGATTTCATGCTGTTTTTGTTCTGCTTTCCTAATTTAGAACAAAATGAAAATATGCATGTTGTGATTTGGTTTTTAAATTTCTATATTTTTCTATATTTTTCTATATATTTCTATATTTTCCAAAAATTCATGTAAACATGGGAAACAAAAGAACTCGTTGAAACAATTCAAATGCCTAACATCAAATAAATTTGATAACATTTTACTTACACAGAAATTCTGTAAGATTTCTTCTTTATTCTCAATAGACTACCACCTTCCTTCCTACTTCCCTTCCCTCCCCTCACCTTCCCTCCCCTCCCCTCCCCTCCCTTCCTCTCCCCTTCCTTTCTGTTCCCTTCCCTTTTTTTCTTTATTTCTTTTCTTTCTTTATTATTTTACTTTTCATCTGGCTAGTTTATTGCCTAAATATAGACTGCTTTTATATCATTTTAGTTGAAATTGCTTCTAATCCAGAAAATTTTGTTATCAAAGATACTAAAGCATTTTTGCTGCTACTTTGAGTCTTTATAGTAATTGCTTGGCATAGTGCATCACTATGGTCAGCACAGTTTGTTCATTGCAAGGCTGTGATACAGCCTGGGCAACAGTTTAGAACTACTCTGCTACATCTAGAGAATCTTAGTTTACATCCATTTTCTAAGGCAAAATGAGGGGTTAAAACCTATGGCATTGTTTTTTTAACTTTTTTTTTCTTCTTGGAATAACTTTGGCAGACTGATGAAGCTTATGGATCTACTCAAAACAATACTTTAAATTTATCAGAATAAAATATATAAGGCAATAAGGAAATACATTCATGTGAATTAAACCAAAAGCAAAATGTTTGCGTCTTCAGTGATATATGCTGTTCTAGGCCAGTCATAATCTAATATAAAGTATGATTTCTATTGGTGAAATGGTTACACACACTCTTCTGTGTTGCAGATAATTCTGATATTTATAAGGGAAATAGATGGTACATTCAAGTTGTAAATTAGACAAAAACAGTGAATTTTATTTGTCATTATCTACTGTAGTCTCTGAATTCCATCCACGTGTACCTGAGATTGGTAACTTCACTCTCGAGAATGGAGCAGACAGTTCTCACTGGACAGAACAGAAAAAGCACTGAACATGCTCTCAGCTCCATTTGTGGGGATTGATAAACATTAATTAGTTAAGGAGCCCTTAAAACATTGTTTTTTAATAAAAAAATAAAGAATGGACAAATTAATCAAATCAATACACTTAATGGCAGTCTTGATTTGTAGTGCATGACACAAGTTTGGTAGATGTCAGATCTATGATGTACTTCTGTTCTTCTTTTAATAAAGAATACATGTGTATCTTATTTTTCTGGAATAGCTTCTTAAAAAAAATCTCTAAAATGATCCTAACCCTGAATACATCTGAGCATCCAGAAAGTGTTGTGTGGAGATTAACTGAAGATCTCTAAAATTCCTTTTATTATTAGAAAGAGCAGGAGAATGTCTATGACCAATAAGAAAATAACACTGGGCAAGTCTTTTAGTGTAGTTGCAGAAGCTGCAAAGTCCATGTAAAAATGTAGTCTCAATGCAGGAAGAGTTTACTTTGTGTAACATCCATATAGAGATTGAGGAAGGGAATAATAATTTTAGAGCTAGCATTTTCTCTTCTCAAGGAATTATAAATGATATTGATAAAGTGATAAAATTGTTAAAAATTAAAATGTAAGTGTCCTAAAAAAAAAGGAGTCACAGATCTTATTTTTCCCAGTAATATATGTTTTCTGGAAAATTTTTCTTTAATTAATTTGTACTTCGCTTATATATAAAACTAGAGATTCAGCTCATTTTCAATAGGAAACTTATATTTTGGAAAATATATGTTTTTCAGAATAAGTTTTGGTGTTTTCTATATATATCTATTACAAAAAAGGCTAACGTTTATGGCCAGCATTGCGGTAGAGTTAAACCACTCCTGCCTCTGGCACTGCTGCCTATGTGGCCATCCCAAATCAGAGTGCTGATTCAAGTCTCTGCTACTTTGATTTCAATCCTGCTACCTGCTATTAAGTTGGGGGAGGCAGAGGAAGATGGAGCAATTACTTGGGTCCCTGCCATCCACGTATAACAAGATGGAATTACTTGCTCTAGGCTTCAGCCTGGCTCAGACCCATGTATTATAATCATTTTGAGGACTCAAACAGGGATGGAAGACTTCTCTCTTTCTGTCTCTCTCTCTTTCAAATAAATAAGTTAAATAGATATTTTAAAAAGGTTAGTTGTCAAATATATGCATAACAAATCCAATATTATAACAAGAAACTAGAAAATTTTCTATATGTTGGGAAATCCATGAACATGTAAACAATAAAAATGATACAGCTTTGATGAATGCATATTTTGTACCTTTATTGAAATATCCCACTATATTTCATAAATATGTGCAATTATTGTTGAACAAAAAATTTTTAAATGTTTAAAAAGATAAAAGTCTATCATATTTTAATCATATCTTTTTAATCATGCCTAGTTGAATCAACCATCAATTTATCACACTACAAGCCATGGATATGTTCAATTAAATGCTAATCGAAATATTTTTTAAATTAGGTTTAATAAAAAGACAGTAATGCCAACTTGGATTAATCTTTACTTCCATGTGTCATACATTTCTCATTGGTCATTTCCAACCTATAATCAAAAGTACCAAATAAAATGAAATTATGAAATAATTTTATTAAACTAATGTTTAACAATTAAAACTAAAAAAAATTAGCAACATAAAGCAAATATAATTAACATTGCCAACCAAAACCACAAATGAAAATGTGTAAGTCAAGGAAGTCCTCATTAATATGATGGTATCTAAAATGATTTGTAAGAATACCAATTGAATGTGAATGTGAGTACAATTTATTTCATTACTTTGAGTCTTGTTTCAGATTTTTAAGACAGGTTTTCAAAACAGAGTTACTAAATGAATTTAGTGAAATTGATATAAGGCCGGCACCGTGGCTCAGTAGGCTAATCCTCCACCTTGCGTTGCCGGCACACCAGGTTCTAGTCCCGGTTGCGGTGCCGGATTCTGTCCCGGTTGCCCCTCTTCCAGGCCAGCTCTCTGCTGTGGCCAGGGAGTGCAGTGGAGGATGGCCCAAGTGCTTGGGCCCTGCACCCATGGGAGACCAAGATAAGCACCTGGCCCCTGCCTTTGGATAGGCGCGGTGCGCCAGCCGCGGTGGCCATTGGAGGGTGAACCAACGGCAAAAGGAAGACCTTTCTCTCTGTCTTTCTCTCTCACTGTCCACTCTACCTGTCAAAAAAAAAAAAAAAAAGAAATTGATATAAGATATTCATGGGTATTAAATATGTAGATCATACATATTTATACATATATGTAAATCATGCATACTTGCACATATCTACATGTATACACACTATATGGATGCACAGATAGTACATATATAATGAATCTCTGCATGAGAAGTATTTTGAATGTATCTACTTGAGTTATTAAGAAAATACTCAGTAGTTCAGTTTTTCTTGTGATAATCATTATTGGCACTTTGGCATTTTTGTATTTTGAAACAAAGGTGCATTTGGGAATACTAAGGTGTCAGGTAATTGCAGTTGGCTAAATGCAATAATTATAATTGAACAAAGCCTTTTTAATGCCCAAGGCTGCCAGCGTAATAAGTCTTGAAAGGAAATTAACGACATTTGTAATATCTGCTCCTTTACCACTGTGATTCATTCAATCATTGGCACAAGGCACGCTGTATTTGTACAGGATAGATACAGTATGCCTCCTATAACACACAAGATATATTTTATCCTGAATGTTGGACACTCATTATTTTCTCAACTTTTTGTTAACAGTTTTGGTTGTGCTGTTTGCTGCATTGAAGAGGCAACGAAAAAAGGAACCTCTGATAATATCCAAGGATGATGTCCGAGACAACATTGTGACCTACAATGATGAAGGCGGTGGGGAAGAAGACACTCAAGCTTTTGACATTGGCACACTGAGGAACCCAGAAGCACGGGAAGACAGTAAACTGAGAAGGGATGTAATGCCCGAAACTATTTTTCAGATAAGGAGGACTGTGCCTCTGTGGGAAAATATTGATGTACAAGATTTTATCCATCAAAGATTAAAAGAAAATGACTCAGATCCAAGTGCACCTCCTTATGATTCACTGGCATCTTATGCCTATGAAGGGAATGATTCCATAGCGGGTTCCCTCAGCTCTTTAGAATCTCTCACAGCTGATGGTAACCAGGATTATGATTACCTCAGTGACTGGGGGCCTCGGTTTAAAAAACTGGCTGATATGTATGGGGGTGATGACAGTGATCGAGACTAGGATTGTCCTATGACTTGATCAACATTAGTGGAAGTACTGTCTTTGTTACTAGACTGAGTGGCCTGCATTCTCTTCCTTGGAGGAAACTTTTCAGAAATCAAAATTAAAACAATACGTAGGTGTTGTCTTAGTAAGGGTTTGCTTAATCAGTAAGTTTCCGTGAATGAATACGATTGACATAGATTAAAAATTAATAATAATCAATTCACCCTCTTTGCCTAACAATCTCGGAAGGAAACAATATTATATCAATAATCCACACAGTACTTAAAAGGCTTTTTGTGCCTTTACTTAGGTATAAGAACTTTATAAATTTTTTCTTAACTTTGAGTCACCTTGACTATAAAATTACATATTGTGCAACTACTTTGTAAATTAATATGAATATTATATATCCCTAATGAAATAGGAATGACTATTACTGCCATATTTATTTAGTTGAAGAATGTCTTTGTGTTAATTCATTCATATTTTTATAAATGTATATTTATATTTTTATATTTTTATGAAATAAACTAGTATTTATAAAACAAACTTCATTGGATGTAATTCCTATGAACAGTTATGATCTCACTTATAACAGAATGTTTTGCATTTTTTAATGTAAAACATGATTTACTCAGGGAAAATGTAGTTAAGAAATCACCGCATGGGATCTGAAACTAGAACGTACTAGCATTTTAAAAGAGTTTGGTACAAATTGTTCTTTTCTTGTTACAATCACTTAAATATTGGATAAATGTCTATTGAACTTCTGATGTCTGACTACACATTAATAAAGTATGAGACACATTTGGACTATCTAACATTATATATACATATAAATATATGTATTTGTGGATAATAAACTTTAAGTTTGATGCAAGTCTTTACTGTGGGATCAGCCAGTGGATTGTATCTGAGAATAAAACGTGTGTCAGTAATGTTATATAGATTAAAAAAAAACCTGAATGACTCTTTTTTCATCAATAGTATATTTCTCTAAACGAGAAATCATGGTTCTGTTTTTTCTCCATAATTAGCCTCAGGGAACATATGGGTAACATTTAACTCTCTGGGTAACATTTAAAATTTGGGTGTTTTTTTTTTTTTTGGAATTATTTTTATTTATTTGAAAGTCAGAGTTACAGAGAGAGAGAAGGAGAGGCAGAGAGAGGGAGAGGTCTTTCATTCCACTGGTTTACTCCCCAAATGACAGCAAAGGCCAGAGCTGAGCTGATGTGAAGCCAGAAACCAGAAGCCAGGAGTTTCTTCTGGGTCTCCCACGCGGGCGCAGAGGCCCAAGGACTTGGGCCATCTTCTACTGCTTTCCCAGGCCATAGGAGGGAGCTAGGACTCAAACTGGCACCCATATGGGATGCTGGCACTGCAGGCTGGGGTTCTTAACCTGCTGCGTCACAGTGCCGGCCCCAACATTTAAAATTTGAACTTATAGACTAGAAGTTTTTAGGGGCCAGCGCCTTGGCTCACTTGGTTAATCCTCCACTTGCGGTGCTGGCATCCTATATGGGTGCCAGGTTCTAGTTTCAGCTGCTTCTGTTCCAGTCTAGCTCTCTGCTGTGGCCAGAGAAGGTAGTGGAGGAAGGCCCAAATGCTTGGGCCCCTGCACCCACATGGGAGACCAGAAAGAAGCACCTGGCTCCTGGCTTCGGATCGGCGTAGCACCGGCCATAGTGGCCATTTGGGGGAGTGAACCAACGGAAAGAAGACCTTTCTCTCTGTCTTTCTCTCTCACTGTCTACAACTATACCTGTTAAATAAATAAAAAATATTTTTTAAAAAGAATTTTTAAATAGGTTGTTTAATTGAGGAAAATCAAAGTTATTGCATTTGAGAAAATTTTGAAATAGCTGAAGATGGCACTAAAACCTAAAAAGATATGATGATTTATTAGTTATTGAGAATGTTTAGAAAACAGAAAGTATACAAAGTAAGGCATGGAAAAGAATAGAGAGGAAGACTAGTACATAATAATCATTTTTAAATCTGTGTGAGACTGACATAGAAAATTTGCCTTGATTGGGCCTGGAGAATTAAACCTGAACCAAAAATGTTGACTATTCTCCAGCATACTCACGGTGATTACTATGCAGAATTTATATAGGAGAAATTTGACTTTGTTCTGTTACCAAGACCATTTAAACATCAGATAGTTACCAAGTTGCACATAGGTAATTACTTGTTTTTATGCTTTACATAATAAGTTTTTTTTTTTTAGTTTTTAACAAGTTCCATCTAGAACACAGACACTATTCTCAAACTATTTCATTTCTCACTCCCTCCATGTCTCTTCTTTTCATCCTCCCTCCCTCTCCTTTTTCCCCTTCTCCCCTTCACTTTTTTTTTTAAGATTTATCTATTTATTTGAAAGTCAAAGTCATGCACAGAGAGTAAGAAAGGCAGAGAGAGAGAGAGAGAGAGAGATCTTTCATCTGCTGGTTCACTCCCCAGTTGGCTGCAACGGCTGTAGCTGTGCTGATCTGAAGTCAAGAGCCAGGAGCTTCTTCTGGGTCTCCCACGCAGGTACAGAGGCCCAGGGACTTGGGCCATCTTCTACTGCTTTCCCAGGCCACAGCAGAGAGCTGGTTCAGAAGAGAAGCAGCCGACACTGCAGGCAGCAGCTTTACCCCCTATACCACAGCACTCCCCCAACCCCCCCACCATGGCCTTCACTTTTACAGCTCAAGTCTTCAATTTGTATGGCAAGCAAGGGCTTCATATTCCATTAAATAGTTGAGCAAATAAAATGCAAAAGACCCTAGTTTAATGAGAATGCAAGTAATGGATATAAACAACTGTCAAATAGAAAAATGACTATTTAACCTATATATGGTAAGTTTCAAAGTTATCACAGATCTTTAAAACAACAGTAGTATAACATTCTTAACAATTAATCTGACAAATGTATGAAACAACATTTGACAAAAGTATACTTGCAGCAGTACTGATACACAACAGGACATTCTCCTTGTGTTTTTTTTTTTTTTTTTTTTTTTTTTTTTTTTTTAATTTAGCTTTCACAAGTAAGGGAGAACATGTGGCTTTTGTCTTTCTGTGTGCATCTTATTTCATTCAACTTGATGTCCTCCAGGTTCATCCATTTGTTGCAAATGGTAAAATTCCATCCTTTTTATTAGCTGGATAATATTCCATTGTGTGTGTATACCATATTTTCTTTATTGATTCATCTGATGATGGACACCTTGGTTGATTCCATATTTTGGTTACTGTGAAGAATGCTACTGTAACATGGTGCGCAGGTATCTCTCTCACACAATGTGTTTTCGTCTTGGGTATATACCCAGAAGTTAGATTGCTGAATCATCTGGCAAGTTTATTTCTACTTTTTTGAGGAAATATCCATATTGTTTTCCACAGTGACTGGACTAATTTACATTCCCACCAACAGTGTATAAGTGTTCCTCCTTCTCCATAACCTTGCCAGCATTTGTTACGTTTTGTCTTTTGGATAATAACTACTCTGACAGGAGTAAGATATCTCATTGTGGTTTTTATTTGCTTTTATCTGACAGCTAGTGGTGTTGAGCATATTTTAATATATTTGACAGTCCTTTATATTTTTTCTTTCAAGAACTCTCTGCAGAGATCCATTGCCCATTTCTTAACTGAATTAATTATTTTTTGTTGTTAAGTTGCTGATATATTCTGGATATTAATCTATTCTTAGATAGGTAGCTCGCAAATACTTTTTCTCATTCTGTTAGATGTCTCAACCTTGTTGATTGTTTCCTTTGCTCTGCAGAAGACTGCATTTGATATAAATCCATTTGTCTAGTTCTACTTTTCTTGCTTGTTCTTTAGAGTTCTTATTCAGGAAATTGTCATTTATCCCAATGTCTTGGAGTATTTCTCCTGTATTTTCTTCAAGTACCTTCATAGTCACAGGTTTTAAATTTAAGTCTTTGACCCTTCTTGAGTTAATATTTGTGCTTAACAAGAAGTATAGAATTAATTTCATTCTTCTGCATAATACATGCAGTTTTCCAAATATCAGTAGTTGAAGAGATTATCTTTACTCCAATGTGTCTTCTGAGAACTTTTGTCAAAAATTAGTTGGCTGCATGTACTTCACTTCAGTACTTGGCTCCCTTTTCTGTTCCATTGATCTGTGAGTCAGTTTTTATACCAGTTGTGAAATTTTTAAAATCTAAAATTAACTCATTAACTTTATTGCCAGTAGCTAACACATATCAAAGACTTAGTTTAAGAAAAAAATACTGGACAATTAATGATTTGAAACATTCAAATAAATTTTAATGTACTAAAAAGGTATGAACTGATTTCAAAAGTCTTTGAACTAAATTTTTTTTTTTTTTTTTTTTTTTTTTTTTTTTTTTTACAGGCAGAGTTAGAAAGTGAGAGAGAGAGAGACAGAGAGAAAGGTCTTCCTTTAGTTGGTTCACTCCCCAAATGCTGGCCACGGCTGGCGTGCTGTGCGGGTCCGAAGCCAGGAACCAGGCGCCCCCTCCTGGTCTCCCACGCTGGCACAGGGCCCAAGCACCTGGGCCATCCTCCACTGCCCTCCCCGGCCTCAGCAGAGAGTTGGACTGGAGAGAGAACGAGAACGTGACAGATCTGGTCCCACTGGGAGTGATCAGTGTGCAGTGCGAGTGGAGCATAGCTAGTGAGCCGCAGCGCCGGCCTTGAGGTATTTTTATATTTCATATAAGGTTCACTAATTTTCAGAATAACATGTCTATGTTTCCATCTGATTTTTTTCCCATGGAGTATTCCATCCAGTCCTGCTTCCAGTCACATTGATGAATTCCAATGACTTAGATATCAAATCTAGTAAAGAAAATAAAATAACATTGACAAAAACAACATAAGAAAACCAACAAGTGTAGAAAGCAATAGCAATTCTTAACTAGTGGCCAATGTTGATCATTCCTTCCAGCTTGATCTAAGGAAAAAAAAGAAAAAATGTCTTCTTCATTGCTTCATTGCACTTTTCTCTTTACTAATTTATTCTGTCCTTTTGAAATGTGTATTTCTTAGTGCTTAAAACCTGTAACTCTTTTTTCTTTTTCTTTTGAATTCTGACCCTTGGTATTTTTTACTTCTTCCCCAATTACTATCTATAGCTGTATGTACATCTACACTAAAGTTAGCATTTATAGATTGAAAGTTCCCAAATTCATACCCCCCATTTTCATTTGTTTATAACAATCGGACATGTACTCTATAGAATACTACACAGCAGTCAAAAACAACGAAATCCGGCCATTTGCAACAAGATGGAGGAATCTGGAAAACATTATGCTGAGTGAATTAAGCCAGTCCCAAAGGGACAAATATCATATGTTCTCCCTGATCAGTGACAACTAACAGAGCACCAAAGGGGAAACCTGTTGAAGTGAAATGGACCTATGAGAAATAGTGACTTGATCAGCTCTTGTCCTGACTGTTGATGTACGATGTAATACTTTATCCATTTTAGTATTTTCTCTTTATTTTGTTCTAGTGCTATTGGTTGAGCTCTGTGATTAACACACACTTATTCTTAGGTGTTTAAATTTTAACAGTCCAAACATATTTAAAACTTTCTATTCTAAATTTCCATTCAAATAGATTTTTTTAAAGTATCAGGTACAAATTTTTAAGTAAGAATTTTCACTCCTAAATTTTCCTATTTTCAATTTGCTGTATCTAGGTTGATGACATCTGCATCCTGTTAATTGTCCCAACCATAAGCCTTATAGCCATCTGTTTTCTAATTATCTTCAGGATCCAACTAACTATAATCCCAGGAAAGAATATGGAACATCAGACTTATTGTTAGATACACTCATCACAAAGCACCTTTGAACTAGAGAACATCTTCTGTCTAAGGAGATGAAAGAATAAAGAATGGACCATACTTAACTAATCCTGACACTTTTTTCTCTGGACATTGAATAAAATGTT